ATTAGCCTAAATGACGAAGAATTTTTCTCTTATTTGAAGATTAATTGTGTTAAATCTTAGCTTCCAACTGGAAAATCTTATTATGACTGTAAACAAGACTTAAAACCCTTAACTTAAAATAAAACATAAACAAACTTAAAATAAAACATATTAGTATGTATCATCCATGCATAAGCACCTGTACAGAACAGACCTGTCATCTCCCAACCTCTCTTTAATAAGCTGAATAAATCATGTACCCAAAATCTTGCACACAGTTAAAAAAACCCACTCACCTTCCAAACCCTAGATAATTTTTTTTTAATCCTAAACTGATCTTAGAACTGAACAAAATTATGCAGTCACCATCTTTTCAACTTTTAAAGAGATCACATCCCTCCTTCAGCCTGATAGGTCTCTTTGCATTGTTGAAGTAGCTATCTTCAATGATCACTAGTTCTCTCCCAAATTCCAAAGAAAACTTTCCATCCTACAGGCACAACCTGTTTCCCACATAGTACTCTGCAATGAGCTGCATCAAACACGTTTTTATTGGCTCTATGGTCAGTTAACCAGGCATTTCAAGTCACTCTCTAACATTAAGTAACCTTACCTTACTCTTTCCTCCCTCCTTAAATAGTTTTTTAACTGCAAGTCTTACTGGCAAGTTTTTACTGTCTCTGTGGGTTGATACAGATACTGAATAGGACTAACTTCATGAAACAGATCCTTGGGGAAGCTGACACCAGAAACAGTCTTCACCACTAATGTCTCCCCAATAGCTACTATTATATTTATTACTTATTATTAAATAGGGTTTTAATCCCTCTAATGTATGCTGTGTTTATTTAAGTATTTTCTTAAAAATCAGAATTGGTCACTTGGACAAATTCAATTGGTTGAGCCATGTTCGACTACATCAGTATTGCTTCGTGCAATTTTGTCAAAATAGACAAGACAGTATTTGTCTGAAAAGATGTGTATTACCCTATAGAAAGCCACACTGAATAGATATTAAACCATTTATTCAGATTCTAAAGTTTTTAAAACCTTCCAAAATTATTTTTATCTTTGAACAACATACGGAACATATGGTTCATAGCTCTTTGGGTCATCCCTTTCAATTTTTTCAATATTGAATCCTGGTGGACAGCATTCAAGCCTTCTACAACTCCCCTAGCTTACAAGAATTGGCTAAAAATTTACATTAATGAATAAAAGAGCTCCTTGCTTTGGCTATTATCTTTCAACATACTTTACCTAGATCGTCTGGCTTTTAAATACTAGCGAGCATCCTCCTTTGTTACAAATTACATACAAAACCAGGTACAAATACCTCCTGTTACATCACAAGCAAAGCAAGATGGGGGGTTTCAATGGTTCTTCTGGGTTTTTTGGGTTTCCTTTTTTTCCCCCCCAAACACACAACTATTTCCTCATTTTATATTGGACCTACACCTACATCTTTTCTCTTTGCATCTAAAAAAACTGACACTTTTTCTCAATCTACATCACTGATATCTCCATGATTAGCATATTTGCTTTCTCACCTGCTTCTTTAAGTTGCAACTATATTCGCTGCCATTTACTTCCTCCTCCTCTTCAGTCTTCCTGCCTAATGTGCAGAATGCTTTGTGCTTTGTTAACACAGTTTCAGTGACTGTGGAATAATGCCTTTTCGGCCGTCAGTATGATTTTGTTGAATACTTCATCGCTTCCATTAGCACTTCCCTTTTAAAGATACCTTCTCCCAGGCATTAAACTCAAAGAAAAGATTCCTCTAAAGCTCCATTACTGTCTGATGCCATATTCTGTTTGCACAAAGTAAATACAGACAAATAACAATCACTGGTACCTAGGCAACAGTGGGATTTCAGGTCAGCTATTAACTCTTCTTTATCTGCTAGAACAAGGTCAACTACTGATTTATTCCACAGTAGGTGCAGAACTGCGTTCATTAAAAAAATGACCTGTTCCTTTTAGAAGCCTTCTGGAGGTCTTTTTATTGGCATCATGAAATGCCAAGTAAATATTACCTGGTTTAAGCAGCCTATTTTATTTGCCTCCCTATAAGAGCATATACATAAGGCAATGTTTGTTCCATTCCTGAGGATATCTCAGGGACCTGTTAGAAACACACAATAGGTGAGAGATGGTTTGAAACCTCAGTAACTTGAATTTGTCAGGAGATCCTTACATCTGCAGGTCTCACAAATGGTAAAGGTTTAGAAAGTGTTATGTAATATCCATTTAATCTCACATGAGACAACATGCTGGAAGTCCACCTCTACTCAAGTCTGGACAAACATTAGTTCTGTGCCCCAGGACTGGGCTGACTTCTTGCATGCTGTTCCATCCTCAGGGGACTACTTTACTCTCTTCCCTACCATCACATTTATTTCTTCCTCCATGGCTTTGCTGTCTACACAATTTCTCTCTTTGTACAGTAGCTTAGGAAAAAATCACTCCAGGCTAGGATTTTGATTCTCTCAGATTTGACACTGAGGAGATGTGGCCTGACACATAGAAGGGAGAAGGAAAAGATGGGGGTTACAAGCTAGCCATAGCTGAAGACTCAGACAACTGTGAGTCGCCTGTAGGAGAAAGGGCTGGTTTCAGTGAGACACCCAAGGGAAAGCATCCTGATACTGAAAAATAAATAGGAGCAAGGAGGATTCAGAGAGAAATGTTCTCCTGCTTGAGGCTCTGAGCACGCTGAGAAACAGCACTGAGACAAAAAGGGAGATGTGCAAGAACCACTGACTATTTCCTTGGCAAAGTAGCTATGTTCTCTATTACAGGAAAACAGCACCTTTTTTTGTATGTACCACAAAAGATGAATGCTCTTCTGTTAGGCATACCTCTCATCAAACACAGGGCCAGGTGAACTCTCAAAAGGTTTTATATAGAATATATTGTTTACCCCAGTTAAAATCACATCACTCTGCTGGAACTTGAGATGATGTTTAGAGAAAAAATAAACAAACAACAAATAACTTGTGGAATATCAGAAACCAACACACAGAGCATATTTCCTCACCACTCCTATGTGCAACAAGCAGCACCATATGGGCCCAAAAAAGGATAGGAAATCTTAATGCAAGAAGTTAGGGTGCATTTTCTACAAGTCACTTCTCAGAACAGCAGTTCATTCAAATTGCCTGGGTCTCCCAATCTGCAAGGCAGAGGGCAAGAGCCACCAGAACAGGGATGGGGATGTTCTTGTCATTTCCACCTCATCCATGTTCCACACAACAGGAGCACAGAGAGGAACAGCATCAAGGTGAACCAGCATGAAAGGGGCCAGTCATCTAGCCAAGCACTGGTCCCAAGGGAAGGGGCAGCAACAACATGGAACAATTTCTGTAAGCAATACAGCTCCCAGGAGAGGGGAGCAGCAGTGGCACAGAGAAGGATGTGCTAAATACAGATTGTAGCAGGTGGTCCAAGAACTGGCTGTGATTTCAGCAACCAGTTTATCCAAACCGGATGGAACTGCCTACCACACAGCCCTGCAACAGCAAAACCCAAGCTGGAAAACACAAAAGCAGAAGAGGCAACCAAAGATCCAGCAATCACAGATTGCCAGAAGGTGAGTTTCACCCTGAAAACATTCCCAGACGTCAAGACTGTGACAATCTAATGTATGAAAACATAAGCAAACCCAGGCTTCTTGCAACAGAACCAGAGAATCATAATTTTGGCTGGGATCTACCTCCAGAAGTCATTTAGTGCAACCCCTGCTCAAAGTGGGTCTAATGAGATCTGGTTGGCCAGGCTGTGTCCAGTCAAGTCAAATACCTTCAAGGATGGAGGTTCCACAACCTCTCTGGGCAATATGTTCCACTATTTAACTACCCTCACAGTAAAAAAAGCCTACACCAAACACAGTATTTTCCCAGTATCTTTTTGAAATTTCCCATGTTCTAACTTGTGTTTGTCTCATCTCATCATTACACATAAAAAGAAAGAATCTGACTACATCTTTTCTGTATCCTCTGATCAGGTAGTTGCAGACAACAAAAATATTCCCCCCTCTACCTTCTCAAAGGTGAACAGGCCCAGGTCTCAGACTCTACTCACATGACATGTTCTCCAGCCCCCTGACCACCTTTGCGGTGCTCACTGGGCTTCCTCCAGTATTTCACTTAGAATAAGTGCATTTCTTCCCTGGAGAGCCCAAACCAGACACAGTATTCCAGACACAGTCGAACCTACTGCTGGAGACAGCGGGCATCACTGCCCTGGGCCTGCTGGCAGCAACACTTTAAAGTCTGTTAACTTTATAAATAATGAGAAATATTTCTGAAGACTTTAAAACATGCCCTCAACCAAGGATGTTACCATCATATCAGCCAAGTCAAGGATTCCTGATGATGACAATGATATATAGATAACTTCACCTGAAGGTTAGGTCATGAAGCATCTAACTCATTTACCTCAGTGTCCACACAGAATGAGTCACCACCTATACTCATGTGAACACTCTTCCTCAAAGAGCTTATAAAATGAGAATGATGACTAGCACACAAAAATTAGAGAAGAAACTAATTCATCAAAAGAAACAGAATGCCTATCACACACAGTGTAAAATACCATCTGACTTGCACTAGGCTTTTCCACATTTCAGTAACTAGCTGGTCAATTCCTTGCAGCAATTTTTAATCACAGAAGTGGATCATGAGGAAAGATGTAAATATTTCAACAAGTTTCTAAGCAACTGAAAAACAGTGCTTTGCAAGGAATATATCAATGTTTAATCCTAGCCTTTACTGGAAAATAAGGTGAAATTTTGTTTTGTTTTCTTTCCCAAACAAATTGTTAGGTTACGCTCAACATCTTAGTATGTATCTAAAAGCTGAGGTAAACACTAGCAACTGTCCTAGTCCTGCAAATATTGTACAGTGTGCTGACTAAATTGACAGGAAAGGGCTTTTGCTTCACATGAATACACTAGCATCACGTGTCCCATCTGTGGGGAAGAAGAATCTGCTGTGCCTTAAAAGGTGCTGGTAACTTACCCCAAACATCTGCCGAAGGTCAGGATCTCGAAAGCGGAAGGGAATATTAGACACATGAAGTCGTTTTGGAGTGGATTTGCTCTCAGTATTCTCACTGCTCTGTGTCTGTGATTGCTGTCCATCTGTCTGTGCCCCTCCTTCTGTCTGCTGAAATGAGAGAAGAAAGTGTACACATGAATAGAAACCATGCAAATTCCTTTAACGTACGTTGTTGATCTCCTTTTAGGTATTTGTACTACATTTGCGACTGCAGTATCTGAGCCCCTGACAATTATTTTGATAAAGCCAGCAATGCTTAACAATTGATCTTTTGTGCTTCCCCTCCCTTTCCATAAGTAAACAGTAACGAAATCTCAGCTCCTTCCCCTCAGATCACCTTTTAGCTTAGTATATTTGCTTTTGGTTTTCTTAAATTGCTTCTCTCTTTTTCCTTGTTCTTTCTCTATTCAGCTGCCACCATATGAAAGCTCTAATGAAGAGGCGGATCCTTTGTATGCTGAAGCTGGGAGGTAGCACCGCCACTCTAATCTCATGTGGCAGGACATTCATGCAATCATAGAAATCCCACAGCTCTTCAGTGGGCCAATACCAGGAATGCATCCCCAGGTAAAATGGCATCTGCTCTGTCAGGCTCCCTTCAGAGAAACATTACCCCAAAAGAAGATCTATAATTAAATGTTAATATCCATATACGAACAGCTCATGGATGTCTCTGATTAACTTTTCTGGTACATTTAAAAATCAGCCCAGGGACAGAAAACAATCATTACCACTGCAGGATTTATAAAAATTTCAAGTGCCACTTTCTGCTACCAATTCCACAGCTAAAACAAGGCAATCTGTTACAGTGTTTCCAAAGAGTGACTGGTATGGTGAAGGCAGGTCAAGGGGTGTGCCAGGCATACTTATGCACAGATAAAGTACAGCAAGAAGGCAGAGGAATAAGGGAGACCAATGTGCTGGAGGAGAGGCCTAATGCCCCCACAGAGATGATGAGCAGGGGAGAAAAAAGGAAGAGAATCTTGGACACTTGTGTTGGGCTTGGACTAAGAAGCAGTAAAATGTGAGCACAGCACTAAATATAAAGGCAAGGCCCCTTTGCACAATGGCTTGATGAGAAAATGGGGGATTTTGTACTTTAGTCAGAAAAATGACCTCAAAGCTACAAAGACTACAATTTCTTTGGTTTTACTGCTCTGCCCCTTTCCAAGGCAAGCACTGACAGACCAAGGTATTCAAAAAGCACCCACCCACTCACTCAATGTCCTGCTGCTTGCCTCAGCCTCCTATGAGTCATGCTTTGACCACCTGTGTGATGCACTTTTAAGTGTCATTTCATTTCTTTAAATGCCAACCCAACTACTTCTTTAACCCATCAAGCGAAAAGAAGTTCTACAAGAATGCAAGGACTGTGTAATTGCTAAACTCAGCCTTTTCTAGGCATCTTCAAAAACATACACTATCCTTATAACTAAAGAGTAGGGGTTTTTTTTTACTGCTTTGGGGTCTTTTTTCCCTCCATTTTAAATACAAAATTTGTGTACCTAAGAGGAAAGAAATCTCAGGGGAGTTGCCCACACTGACTCCCCAAGCACTGACTGGACTTGCTCTGCACATCATTCAATATACAACACATCATGAGTATTTGGAAAGAAACAACTCTTCACAGATGAACTACACTGGCAGCGTTAAGAGAGCTTCTTCTGGACAGAAATGCCTCTTACAGACATGACCTTGAACTTATAACCAATATATAAAACACTAACAAGAGCAAGCAAACAGTAAGCACTGGGGTCTTGTCATGCTGAACAAAGCAGTGGCAGCTTTCTATTTTATTTTAGTAGGGCTGTGCAGGCAGCATAAACCACATTTGATTCGATTAATATGAATTAAGCTGTGATAGGAAGAACAGAGATACTGCCCTGCAAGTACCTCTGCTCCCCAGAGCCACGCAAGTCTCTGGAGAAGCCTAACAGAATGAAGCATTTTTATTTGGCTAAGACTCATCCATCCCTCAAACATCAAATTTTCAGGAACAATCTCTGAAACTTCCATTTGATTGTATCTAAAAAGATGCCTTCAAGTTTCTTCTCTTCTCCTATCCTCACTCCTATAACAAAATCCATCTCCAAACATACAGAGAGTGCACCCTAGGGGAAGAATCAATGCAGCTGGCTTACGATTAAATCACACTACGCTTTTTGGTGCTTTTATTTTTATGACTCCATCAGAGCCTTTTGCTCCTCAGGGCAAATCTGTCCAAAAAATACCAAACACAGGGCTAGCCCATCCATCACCACCGCACACAATGCCTGCAAGTAAGTGCTCCAAAATAACTCCTCAAAAATCATCAACACTCCTGCTAAAAGGGATCTCTACAAACCATTTGTGGGCTCTGCTACTGCAGTTTACCAAATTCCATGTTTTTTATGGCTTTGTGTAGAACTGGCAAGTGGGCAAACACCCATGCACACAGGTGCATCCTTAAACATGCACACTAGTGCACTTTCTGCAGCATGAATGAGGAAAGGCACAGATTCTGAACAGTGATGACAAAAATGGTTTAGTCTTTAAATTTGCACATAGGTTGCACAGGACTGGATCTGCTGCTCCCACAGGGGAGGAAGCTGGGTCCTCTCCCATCCATTTGTTCGCAGACAGAGGGCAGAAGTCCTTCCTTACCAAGGGTGCGATACATCATGTACAGCGGCCTGCTCAGAAACATTCACAGCTGTTCCTGCATATGACAGAGTGCTGCCACCATACAAAAGTCATTTTGCAGCACGTGTGATGTGTACAAGAAGACAAAAACCATCAAAGAGGAGAAACAACCATAGGAACAGGGAATCTCCGTCTACTCTTACCTTTCTGACTACACTGCGAATCCCAGATGCTTTTCAGGCTTTCACATACCCTGTTTTTCAGTAGTAGTTTAACATTAAATACCTTCTCTCTCCAGATGCTGTAGCTCCCTCATTTCTACCATCCATGGCCCTAAGGTAAGATTTGAACTTTCAGCTATTACAGCATTATCTCAATACATTTGTCTAGTGCCACACATTCAACTACAACATAAATGAAAAACAAGTCTCGTCAGATCTTGCCTCCCCCCTCTTCTATAGTTACTCCTTGTCCTAATTCATTAGGAAGTAAATGAAAGGAAGGACCTGGAGCCAGTTCTTCAGCAGCACATAATGGAGACTGGCAACAGCACTACCCTGACCAAGTCAGATGATAAAAGCCTGTATTTCACCAAGCGTTCACTCCCCACCCTGACTCCCTCCCTACACTGAGTTTCAGCTCCTTCCTTCTGGCATCACATCAACACTTTACAGCAAAGAACCAGCCCTCTCCACTGTTGCAGATAGCAGTTAAGCTCAGAAGGAGCTAATACACGTTGCCTAGGTCTCAATGTCTGTCATCAGGCAACACAGAGACGTGCTGCAGCAAAGATCCTGTGTTTAGAAACAGTACTGGATCCACTTTACCTCCTCAGCATAGTCGGTGTGACATACTTTTGCAGGTGATAATGTCATTCACGCCTGCACATGCTTTGAGCTCTGCTCAAGGTCACTAAGAAATGCATCAGAGCTCAGGACACCTGCAATATGTGCTTCACTTATAACTACTTGCTGCCTGTGGGCCTTGCCAGCTCCTCCCTTGAAGTAAGGAAAACCTAAGAGGCAGTTGCAAAAAGAAGCATGGATGTATGCATGTGCACGTACCTATGTAGAAGGGGAGAAGGACATCTGGCAAAATGAAGCTGTTCTGAAAGGTTTGGGGGCAGGTCTGCAACCATCTTCCCATCTCCTGACTAGACTCTCTTGTCCTAAAGCAGCTGATGAACAAGCAATTGCTGAGGATTTCTCCTCAGAAGGAAGGAGGCAGGGGCTCCAGTGCCACCTGAGCTCCAAGCAGATCTCCATCTGTGAGACAGAGGGCCACCTCCCTGACAAGCCTGGCAAACACCAACAGGCCAGCACAGACACTATTAATACACAGCACATTCCGTTTCCACCTCCCACTTGCTTCTAGAACTGGAACCACTTCAGGTCCAAGTTATAGAAAAGCAAAAAACAACCCCCCATATCCTTCAGGAAGCAGGCAGTCCAAAATGTTGTGAATCATAATGAGGAGGTTAAAAGCCATAAATCACTGCAAATAAAATATTTACAAAATACAAACTGTAACTAATAACTATATTTAAAAACGGACTTGGGTGGCTTACAAAATCTCGGAGACAGACTGTGCTCGCTCCACTGCTTCTAGACCAGTCTCAGATCTCAAAAAAACCCCAACTCCCCATAAAAAGTCTTGTTTGGAACAAGAGCTCGAGGAATTGTGCAGAGACAATGCCTGGCAGAAGGCAATCTTCCCACCGCAAAGGAGAGTGCAGACAATGTGGGAAGATCTCTGCAATTTCTAATGAAGAACTAGCGTCTAAAGCACTAGTCACCCACCAATAAACAGATACCCACTGAGAAGGTTTAGTGGAAAAATGAGTGACAAATTAGGCACTAGATAGAAAACCCCGCTCCTGCCCCACCACACAGTAGGACTGAGCTCCTACACATCCAATAGCAAAGGGTATGGGAACTTCTGATGCTTAAACATCACTTGTTTAGCTAACAGAAAACTGCAGGACTAATAATCATCTTTCAACAGCAGTAAATATAATTTTAAAATTATATCCATGTACTTGATTTTTCAGAGATGCCAGAAGTATTATATTAAAAAAAAAAAAACAAAAAAAACCCACAAACAAAACTGGGCTACACTACAGACACAATTAACAATGTGTCCAAGCACTCTGTATGCCAAAAAAGAGAGAAAAAAATTGCTATCAATGTACCAAATAACTTCTACTAGGCTTTTAGCTATTTTCAATATAGTCAAGATTAATTCAAGGCATATTTTTTCTGATTGTTAGTTACCTGTTTTCAGACATACTGAAGCTTAAGTAATTTTGTTCACTTTCCTCATTAAATAAAGATATACCCCACCTGAAGTAAGAATACGAACCTAACATACGAAAGCACATAGGAAATTCTGCTACTTGTCCTGCACAATGAAGATATCTTTGATGTGTCAGATAACATTTTCCATGCAGTGTTTCCATGTTTAAAATTACTTTGTTCTTCTGAGCA